GCTTTTGACCTAAAGGGACGCTTTTTGGACGCCATGGACGTTTCTCAGTTTCCAGGAAGAAAGAACAGTAAAAATGCAGACAGGGCACAGGACAAAGCACTCGGAACAAAATGTATGTGAAATGGTTTGACACAGTAATGTTTTACTATGTGATTTTAGTGATATTAGTGAATGTCACTTTTTGACATTTTTAAATTTCCTGCCGTTCCGTCCCCCGTACGCCCTGACGCCGCAGGGAACGGAACCCAGAAGACAGATACCGGCATCGGCCGGAGGAGATTGCAAGAGGGACATCGCGGGAGTGCAGGACAAGGTAAGTGCAGAAGAGATCCCAGAGCAATGCTGCAGGGTATTCCCGAGTGTAGCTCGGGGTTACCGCTTGTGGTGCTGAAACTTTACCCCGAGCTACACTTGGGAATACCGCCAGGGAGGTTAAGGTCCCTTTCACACGCGGCGGAATCCACTTTGCTCAGCACGGGATCTGTCTGCTGATCAGAGTAGAGCGTGTAGATGACAGGTCCATGTCCACTCAGTTTATGCAGAGTTTATGCTCTATGGGCGGTTGCGTGTAAACAGACTGGCTGTCCATTTTACACCCAACTACCCTCCAATCTGATCCGCTTACACAGAAGAGAATGGATCCTCTTCCATTTATTTTTAACAGACCAGATTGGTGTTGGTTTACACCTGCCAGTCCATAGAGATGAATGAACCGTTTGATCAGATATGCCTGAAAAAATGGCAGGCGGATCTGATCGGAACAGTCATGTGAAAAGGGCCTAATAGCCCAATGTCCCTCGCCAGCATCTTCTACCTGGCTTCTTCTGGGTACCAGGCTATGTCCATCTTCCTTGACTGGTGTAGGATGACATCACTCCTGCCCATGCTCTGGAGTTCAGTCATCCAGGAACACAGACTTGCGCAGCTCAGTGTATATTCCAAAGATGACAGCGAGCTGGCAGGTAGGTTTATTTTATTGCAGAAGACTCTATGGGGGTGATATACCAAAACTGGAGAGTGCAAAATCTGGTTCAGCATAAAAACCAATCAGGATTCAGGTTTTATTGTCTCAGCTTAACTGAACAAGCTGAATTTACCGTAGAAGCTGATTGGCTACAATGCACAGATGCACCAGATTCTTAGTGCTCCGGTTTTAGTAAATTTCCCCCACTGCATGTTTCTTCTGCAATAAGTAGCCTGCCTGCTTGCAGTCTTTAACCGCTTAGTGATTACCTGCCGACACCAGGTGATTAACGGCAGTCATCGACAAGGAGGATGGCTGTATTGTTTATCAACAGCCCTACTCCCTGTCAGTTTGGGCACACTGCTCAGGATTGCTGAGCATAGCCATCCCGATCAGTGTGCTTACAGTGAAGCACACACCCCCCACCCCCTAGTAAAACACTCCCATCACACAGTTAACCCTTTGATTGCCCCTCACTTTAACCCTTTCCTGCCCAATGCCATTAGTACAGTGTCAGTGCTTTTTTTAGCACTGATCACTGTATTGCTGTCACCGGGGATGTCAGTGACACCAAGTTGGTTCCCCCCAGTTTCAGAATACCCACCACAGTTCAGCAGTCCCACTATAAGTCGCTGATCGACGCCAGAAGTCGCTGATCGCCGCCATTATTAGTATATAAAAAAAATAAATTTCAGTATCTATACTGCCATTTGTAAACCAATTAGTTTACATGTATTGGGATTTTTTTTAGCAAAAAAAAATGTCCCAAAATACATTTTGGCCTAAATTTATGACGAAATTAGATTTTTAAATTTTTTTATTGGACATGTTTTATAGCAAAAAGTCCAAAATATAGTTTTTTTCTCAGAATTGTCCCTCTTTTTTTTTATATTGCAAAAAATAAAAATGCACAGGCAATCAAATTCCATCAAAAGAAAGCTCAATTCGTGGGGAAAAAGGACGTAAATTTCATTTGAGTGCAGCATTGCATGACCGCGCAATTGTCAGAACGCAGTGCCGTAATGCCAACCACTTCTTTAACTGCTTCCTGACCATTCTATAGCAGAAATACTGCTACAGGGTGGCACAGGTGCGCAAAATCACATATATATATGTGATTTGCGCTCCTGTGGTTTTTACGCCCCTCCCAGATAGTATCAGATTGCCCGTCAGTACACCAGGAACACTTTCATACACAATAAACCTCCATTGCAAGTATAGTGTCTGAACGGATCAATATCTTTGATCAGATCAGCACTATACCAGCGTTCACATAAGTATAGTGTCGTCAAAACCACAGCCTTAGCAGTGGATCAGTCCTGGCACCTGCCAGCACCTGCGTTTAGCCCCTACGCTTACCCCCCCTTCTTCCCCAGCAAGTGCAGTATCAGTAGGTCACTGTCACTTGATACATTGTACACAAACCCGCAGTGTTTGCAGAATCAGGCCTGATCTCTGTTAGCACTTGCCGGTAAATTTTGATTACTATCATAAGCAGCAGAGTGCCAGTACTAGTGCCGCTCTACCTTTTGGTGAACTGGCGAGCACCAGAGGTCTAGTACATCCTGGTCTTTCACATACCAGCACTGCAGTATCACTTGGTGACATGGCGAGTCCCATAAGTGCAGTACAAGCTGGTGAGGTGGCGAGCACAAGTATTGTCCCGCAACCACCAAGAATTCGCACACAGGCCCATAGAGCCCCTAGAATCCTTCCGGGTGTGCTTGCAAATCCCATAAATTCTGCAGCACCTGTACTTCCCCCATTCACTGCTCAACCCGGAAATTCAGGTGGAAACAGCAAATTTAACTCCTCCCCTTGATTTTTGGGAGCTGTTTTTCATGGAAGATCTGTATGCATTGATTGTGGACCAAAGCTATTTATATGCACAACAATTAAAATCTTGTCAGACCATTCACATGGAAATCCATTACGGTTTCCGAATTTACATTTTTATTTTGGTCCTAACCCTTAACATGGGCATTACTAAAACAAATTAATTGTGGTTGTATTGGTCCACAGACCCGATTCATCTTATGCCCATGTTCTCTGCTGCCATGGCCAGGCATAGATATGAAAGTATTATGTGTTTTATGCATTTCAACAACAACACACTCTGTCGTCCTCGAGGTGACCCTGAATTTGTTGAATGAATCTCCGTGGCTGCATTAGGCTCTGTTCACACCAATGTGTTTTTTAGTGCTTAGATACGTATTAAAAAAAAAAATGAAAAATGATACTTATATATACAGTGGATGTAAAAAGTCTACACACCCCTGTTAAAATGTCAGGTTTCTATGATGTAAAAAAAGAAACAAAAATAAATCATTTCAGAACTTTTTCCACCTTTAATGAAACCTATAAACTGTACAACTCAGTTGAACAACAAACTGAAATATTTTAGGTGGAGGGAAGTAAAAATAAAAAAACTAAAATAATATGGCAATAGAACACGGGGCAATAATAAACAATAACAGTCTGGTACTGCGTTGCTCCAATTGCAGACCCAAGGTTAAAGTGCAAATAGTCTTGTTGTACAAACAATATCAATCCCGGAAGGGTACAAATAAGAAAGATTAAAAGAACCACAAAAAAAACACAAACCCTAAGGGACAATGTACCATACAGAACAATTGAGATTAGCCTGAAAAAAAAAAAGAAAGGAGAAATGGAACCCACCACAGCAATCCACCCCCTTCCCTTCCAGAAGACAATCGCCCAAAAAAACAAAAAGTAGGAGGGGGAAAAAGAGAAAAAGAAAAATAAAAGGGGGGGGGGAGAAGAAAAGGGGAGAGGGGAAAAAGAAGGGGAAGGAAGAGAGAAGGGAAAAAAGGAAAATGAAGAAAAATAGATGAAACAAAGTCTGATGACAGTGTTCCGAAGTGCCCAATTCCTGAGCCAAGAGCGACTCCATACATTCAATGTGATCCATCTCCTTAACCCACTCCAAAACAGTCCTCCAGTGGCGAGGTATAACCAGCCTGGCAGCCATCAAGCAATGGCAGAGAAGGCCACGTTTGATAAACTGAAGGAGCCAGGCAGGATAGAAAGCAGAACAATTTGGGGCGTATTGGAGACCGTCTGGTCCGTAACCTCCGAGTAAACTCGTAAAATACGATCCCAAAATGCATAAATAGGGGGACATTCTCGCCAGACGTGAAGAAGGGTGCCGGGGGCAGCCTGACAGTCCCAACAGAGATCAGAGGTGGAAGCATCTGTACCACCAAGTGAGCGATTTGAAATTGGTTTCCTGAGCCCTACTGGTCAGAGACAAAAGGTCCGGTATCATCCAATATCTGAACGGCAAGGGCCCCAGCCCACCTGGAGGTGTACGGTGGAAGATCCGGATGAATCGTGGCCAGCAGGATCTGATAAATCACAGAAAGACGGTGCAAGGAGGGAAGATCCTGAAGGAACAAGGATTCAAGCGGTGTGGGGTGCCTGATTAACAAGTCAAGGTTCAATGTACAACTTTAAGGCATTCCTCAAACCTGTTATTTAAAAGATTTCTGAGTTTTCCATGTTACCCTCACAGTTAAACATACAGGACATGTTTTTTTTTTTTACAATTGACATAGGTTTCCCATGGCAGTGCTCAACTTCACATGCCTATTTTGACAGTAAGTATGCCTATTAGCCCTAAAAATGGACTGAATTTATAGGATTCACCTCCATGGATTTAACTGGGATTCATGGGGTTCACTAATTTCATACAATGTAAAAATGGAGCTGTTCAGGCACAGAGTTTTACACTGATCAGTGATGATAATGGCATTGCATAAAAACTACTATTCCACCACAGTTTGCCAAGATTGAAATAGAGTTGTGTATTAGACATACACTATATTGCCAAAAGTACTGGGACACTCCTCCAAATCATTGGATTCAGGTGTTCCAATTACCTCCATGGCCACAGGTGTATAAAATCAAGCACCTAGGCATGCAGACTGCTTCTACAAACATTTGTGAAAGAATGGGTCTCTCTCAGGAGCTCAGTAAATTCAAGTGTGGTACCGTGATAGATTGCCACCTGTGGAACAAGTCCATCCGTGAAATTTCCTTGCTACTAAATATTCCATGGTCAACTGTTAGTGGTATTATAACAAAGTGGAAGCAACTGGGAACAACAGTAGCTTAGCCACAAAGTGGTAGGCCACGTAAAATGAAAGAGCGGGGTCAGCGCATGCTGAAGCACACAATGTGCAGAAGTAGCCAACTGTCTGCAGAGTTAATAGCTAAAGACTTCCAAACTTTGTGTGCCCTACAGAGTAGCACAACAACAGTACATAGAGAGATTCATGGAATGGGTTTCCGTGGCCGAGCAGCTGGATCCAAGCCTTACATCACCAAGTGCAATGCAAAGCGTCCGATGCAATGGTGTAAAGCTCACCTCCACTGGAGTGAGGAATCACACTTCTCTATCTGGTAATCTGATGGACGTGTCTGGGTTTGGAGGTTGCCAGGAGAATGGTACTTGCCTGACTGCATTGTGCCAAGTGTAAAGTTTGGTGGAGGGGGGATTATGGTGCGGATTGTTTTTCAGGAGTTGGGGTTGGCCCCTAAGTTCCAGTGAAGTCAGCATACTAAAACATTTTGGACAATTTCATGCTCCCAACTTTCTGTTCCAACATGACTGCACACCAGTGAACAAAGCCAGGTCCATAAAGACATGGATGAGCGAGTTTGGGGTGGAGGAACTTGACTGGCCTGCACAGAGTCCTGACTTCAACCAGATAGAACACCTTCGGGATGAAACAGAGCAGAGACTGAGAGCCAGGCCTTTTCATCTGACATCAGTGCCTGACCTCACAAATACGCTTCTGGAAGAATGGTCAAACATTCCTATAGACACACTCCTAAACCGTGTGGACTGCCTTCCCAGAAGAATTGAAGCTGTTATAGCTGCAAAGATTGGGCCAACTCAATGTGCCAACTCAGTGGGCCAATGTGTAAATGCAGGTGTTCCAATACCTTTGGCAATGTAGTGTATGTTTGGGGCTAACTTCACCATCAATGCAAATCATTAACATTGTGAAGTATAAAGGCTTATGTCTCCAGTTTCTATTAAGCATAATATTCACTATGATATCTGTATGTCACTATGATATCTGTATCTACTTTCTATAGTGGAGGAACCACAATGTTGTAATACTCCTTGAAACCTTTTTCTCTTTTTATTGTGGATAAAACTTATCTAAAAATATTGAAAAGGAAAAATTACTGTAACATAATTTCCAACATTTCCAAATGTTTCTGAGGCATACATATATGGGTTAGTGTGCTAAATATGCAAGGCTACACTAAAATCTTGGTCTAGCCATTGAGGAAGCAAATTTGAGTCATGACTGGTCCATCAAAATTCAATTGTAAATCTCCTTCTATAGTACTAATATCACTGATCCCATACTCATATGTATACAACACTATTGGCCCCTCTTGCTCATGTATACATCTTCCACGCAGCCATTCTGGTCTCACAGCAGTCTTTATTATGAAGGACGGTATACAGTAAGTGAGTCAATTACAATTACATAATTAGCCATGTAACTCATAGAATTTTAATCTTTGGACTAACTTACCAGTGTGCAGGATTTGTATTTCAATGAACGGCATCTCCCTTCTCAATGTGACACAGAAGCTGTAAAAAAAAGTAATATGAACTTATTGTCTTTCTCTAGAAGAAAAACCTGATTTCTATATGGGCGACTCCATCTGGGAAATGTGACTCACGCTGTTCCGTCATTAGTATAACACACTTTTCAAAGTACTTTATTTGCATAGGTTAGCTGCCTTGGTCACTGCAACAGAAACTAGATTCATTCGAAGTTTAGTTTGGTAGCAGAGGAATTTCCTGGTAGCTGGGGAACAGGAAACATGTTTCAGAGTTTATTTATAACATTTCTTAAGGAACCTGGTAACAAACAACCATCTATATCCATCCCAGGAATCGGTATGACATACTGAGGATTTATAAAGATTTTGACATTTGGTAATGGTTATATCGGTGATTTGCATAAACCATTTTACAGAATTAGAATTTAGGCAGAACCACAGTCAAAAATAACATGATAAAAAGAAATAGATAATAAAAAACCTGTTTTTTTGCAGCAATACTCACCAAAGCCATCCCCCCCCCCCCCCCCCCAGTTAATCCTTTCTCTGGACCCGACCCAGTCTGTTACTGAACAGTGAAGCAGAAGCAACACAGTAATTAGATCATTTGTTTGTCACTCTATTCTCTCCTCATATCAGAAAACTCCTTGTCAGCACAATAAAATGTTTTTAAAGGCTAAATGTTTATCACCTTTAATGCATTCTCTGCAGTTTTCTGGCTGTACTGGAAGCTAATCCAATGATCAGGCTTGTGCTGACATGCCTTCCTGCACAGCCATTCCCTGGGAATACCAGTGTACTGCCATTTCTCCTCCCCCAGCTCCTCATGCAGCTGAGAACAGAGGGTATGTGATCAGTTATGAAAAAGAGAAAAAAAAGAATTTTAGAACTTTTTTATATCTATACATAAATGTTTTGCCTTTCATTGATATTTTTAAATGGAATGGGTTGTTTTGTAGTAGCAATTTCCGCAAAATCAGATACTGTAAAACTCTGGATTCGGACTTCTGAAGGAAGCAACTAATTTATTAAAAACAGCGCTGTTTTGACTCAACAGATGGCTTGTGCCTCATCTGCTAAGTGAGTTATAGAAAACGTCTTACAAGCGTATATACCAACAATTACATCACAAGGCATACATTCCTTTCCTACTTTCTATACACTCAAAAGGCTACCTAAACTCTGCAGAATAACCTTGGCCAGCAACTAGAGATAAGAAATACCAGCTGCAGACCTGTACACAGGAAATAAAGGAGGGGGAAGATTAGCCAAAAACCTTGCTTCTACAAACACAGGCTGCTAGAAGTGTTAGAGTTTAAAGGGGAACTCTGCAACATTTGGGTCCTACCATAGTTTTACAAGATGAAGTTTTGCATAAACTTTAAAGCGGAGTTCCAGTCTCCTAGCCAACGTTGCATTGATAGCATTGCAGGGATTGATGTAATTCCTCATAATGGATAATGTTGCCAATGTACACATTGTAACTACTTACAAACTGCTTATTTTTCTTTTGTCCCCCTCGATTCCGGCTACGGCCATACAGGATTTGGGCAGCTGATGCCAACCTGGCTTAATTTCCTGGATTTTGTGCAGCTCGGGATCTTGCGCCTGTGCAGTAATGACACTGCATGGCTCGCTTTGTGCACTCGCATTAAATGCACAAAAACTCCTGGGATCGATTACATAGATATCCCAGGAGTCAACGGGCCAGGCTGATGACGCAATCACCTAGGTGGCCACGACCGGAAGTAGCAGGGGACATTACTAAAGAAAGGTACTTTCTGCAGGAAATTTCTATATTTCAATATCCAAATCTTGATTCATTAGCAGTGTACATTACAATGTGAGTAATTTCTAAAAATTACCGGAATGCCGCTTCTACTGAAGAACTGGCTTCTGCCAAACTGTCTTGCTGCAATGTTAATAGAGGACCTGGCATGGGAAAGGGATTCAGGAAAACACAAAGACCGTGTCCCACCCACTCAACATGATCACAACAGGGGTTGTAAATGTAATATGTAAACAAAAACTTTTGGGATCCAGTGTTCACTGAGACTTTTATCAATCGCTAGAGCTGGAGCCAGTCCAGCCAGGGGCATATCTACCGCGAGGCAAACAAGGCGTTTGCCTAGGGCGGCAATTTTTAGGGGGGCGGCACCGCCCCTCGGAAGAAGGGACCTTTTGAGAAGCGGCAGACAGAGCCATGCAGGGCCGCCATCAGAGGGGTATCTTCGGTACTCTTGCAGTGGCCCGGATAACAGGAGGATCGATGCAGGGGAGGGCAGTTGCAGAGCTATGCTCCTGTACCTCTCCCTCCAGCAGCTGACGAGCCAGGACCAGGGGACAGACTGGAGCAGGGAAAGGAGAGCCAGGAGGAGGTGATCTGTGCTGTGGTCATTGGGATCTCCCTGCCACCCTCCCTGCACTGACAGATCGTATGGGACTGCACACACCTCCCCCCCCCCTCTCCTTCCTGCTGCCCAGAGATCAGCAGCCCTTGGAGGAGGTGTGTGTGCAGTCCCATATGATCTGAGAAACGAAGAGAGAGAGAGGGAAGAGAGGGGGGAGCTTGGAAGAGAGAGAAAGGGAAATAGAGAGAGAGAGAGAGAGAGGGGGAAGAAGAGAGGAGAGGGGGGAAGAGAGAGGTGGGAGAGGGGAGAGGAAAGAGAGAGGGGGGAAGAGAGAGAGGGGATAGAGAGAGAAGAGAGAGGGGGGGGAGAGAAGAGAGAGAGAGGGGAGAGAGAGAGAAGAGAGTGAGGGAAGAGAGAGAGAGAAGAGAGAGGGAGGGAGAGAAAAGAGAGAGAGAGAGAGAGAGAGGAATAGAAAGAGAGGGGGAGAGAGGGAAGAGAGAGAGGGAACAAAGAGAGGGAGAGGGAATAGAGAGAGGGGGAAGAGAGAGAGAGAGGGGGGAGAGTGAAGAGAGAGAGGGATGAGAGAGGGAAGAGAGAGAGGGGGGGGAGAGAGAGAGAGAGGGAAGAGAGAGAGAGGGGGGAGAGGAGAGAGGGGGGGCGGAGAGAGAGGGAAGAGAGAGAGAATCATATATATACAGTTGTGTTCAAAATAATAGCAGTGTGTTGAAAAAAGTGAATAAAGCTCAAAATCCTTCTAATAGCTTTTATTTCCATACACACAAATGCATTGGGAACACTACACATTCTATTCCAAATCAAAGCATGAAGAAAAATATATCAAATTTGTATTGTTCCTCTAAAAAAATTTAAGAAAAGTGAATATTAGACTGTTCAAAAAAATAGCAGTGTTTGTATTCTTCTTTACAAACTCAAACATTCACTATATAAACTGAAAAATGTTTGAAGATTTTGCTTTCCTTTGAATCACTTAATTAATATTTAGTTGTATAAGCACTGTTTCTGAGAACTGCTGTACATCTGTGTTGCATGGAGTCAACCAACTTCTGGCACCTGTGAACAGGTATTCCAGCCCAGGATGATTGGACTACATTCCACAGTTCTCTATTTCTTGGTTTTGCTTCAAAAACTGCATTTTTGATGTCACCCCACAAGTTTTCTATTGGATTAAGATCCGGGGATTGGGCTGGCCACTCCATAACGTCAATCTTGTTGGTCTGGAACCAAGATGTTGCACGTTTACTGGTGTGTTTGGGGTCGTTGTCTTGTTGGAACACCCATTTCAAGGGCATTTCCTCTTCAGCATAAGGCAGCATGACCTCTTCAAGTATTCTGATGTATTCAAACTGATCCATGATCCCTGGTATGAGATAAATAGGCCCAACACCGTAGTATGAGAAACATCCCCATATCATGAT